CGAAAAATGCAAGAGCGAAAAGTCGGACATTGCTCGAGGTTTTGCAAAATGTTTAAAGTGTTTGTCAATGTTTTTGAGAACGTGGCTTGCGCCAACCCTACATACAAATTTTTCCTCAACACCATGTTAGTAACTTCCTTCAGCGAAAAACCTCAAAACTGCCACCAATCTACCTATGATGATTTTACACTTCGCCCAAGCTCTTCCTCCATAAGTATTAAAACGCTTTCAACTTAGGTATGCCGAAAAAACATCGATGCAATATCTGAAAATATCGATGTTTTGCTTCGATGCATCGAAAATTTTCTACTCGATGCATAAATAGTCGATGCTTCGAGGCGTCGATGCCAGATGAATATGCAAAGAACATAGTTGGGGTGTTCACAGTTCGTTCCAAATAGTGTCTCAAAATGTAGACGTCTACATTTTAAGACGTTTTCTAACCGTAAAATCTGTGGTGTTGTTGTTTCCCATACAAAATTGGAAAACGACGCCGTCTACATTTTGTCACACTCAAAGGTATGTTTTTTACGCGTCTACATTTTGCAACCTCGCAGCAGGGTTGCATTATGGCAATACTAATCGCATTTTTTTTATTTATTGGGCACGTTTTCTGCATTTGCATTTAGTTTGAGCGCAATTTCTGATGAAAAGAAACAAATCAAGGAAAAGAAATAACAAATATTAGGAATTGGTAATTAAGTTAAATAATTACAATTTTTCAGAAACAAAATCGAAAGGCGACATATAAAAAATGCACGCAAGGAAGAAATGTCTGGCAACACCAGCAAAGTTTTGAGACGATTTTGCGACGACTACTAGAAAGGGGTGCTCACAGTTTGATGCTAAAGATGTCTCAAAATGTAGACGTCTACATTTTCAGACACAATTTGGAACGAACTGTGAACACCCCAGGTGACGCGAAAAAGATAGCGAAAAGACATTTTCGGATAATACCGCCGAAAACAAACCTTTACTTTTTAATGTGGCAGCACATAGTTAAATGAAAAGCGAAGAAAGCGACAAAGAGCATAGCGGTGAAAACAAAAAAAAAGTGTTTTCGTTGCTTTTTGAGCTGACGGTTGCTTCACTTTGTTTTGACGTCTCTTGTCTAGTTTTTCGCTATTATCCGAAAATGTCTTGTCGTTCTCTTTGTCGCGTCACTATGTTCTTTGCCTAACATTCAAATATCGTCGCTTGGATGAAAAAGTATTGTAAGGCTGCGTTTACATAAAGCAATTTTTCTCAATTGTCATGAACAATTATAAAGACAATAAATTTTCAGCAACTGCCATTAGTGCCATTTGGCGTGAATTCATGTTATTTACTGAAATGTCCAAACACAACCCACTTTTTTATAATTCTGCATTGAATACCTCCGCTATTGTTTTAGCTTCCTGGTTTGGAATCGGGTATTCCTCTGGACATTTGCTAAAGTAGTCCATAACTACAAGGACGTATTTGTTTCCCTGTGCGCTCATACCAAATGGACCGGCGGAATGGTGCACCTGAGTTATACTGCTTCATCTATTCATGACTTTTAGACCGATTGCCGACAACCAACCGAATAGACCCTCTGCTTAATCTTCTCGAAGGTCTTCGTGATTTCCAGGTGCCCTCCACTAGGACCATTGTGGAATTCCTTGAGTATATCCGGAATTCTTACCCGAGGAACTACTCTTAGGTTGCGGGAGCACTGACCATCTTCGCTTTCTCATACCCTATGCAAACAGCCAGATATTGGGCCTCATGCTTAAAAAGTGAGCTTACGCTCCGACTAATTTTCAGTACAAATTCTTCAGCTTGAACTAAATTGATCAGAGCGAAAATTGAGTCTGAGCTTAAGCTCAGTTTTTATGCATAAGGCCCATTAACTTTAAGCTGTTCCATTGTGCCCAGTATGTCTTTACACTGCCATTTGCTCCTTAGTTGGCCTTCCGTTCATCTCCAGTCCATGCATCAAAAGCTCCAGATCTGAATCTTCCTGCTGACACTTTCGTAGCTATTCTTCCTTCCACTCTTCCGCTGGTGTTATTGTCGTTAGCCGGACGTCTATAATGTCCTCTTTGCCCTCAGCTTTTGAGCAGTGTTTATATTCTAAGCTATATGGTCGATGGGACATAGCGTCAGCTTGTCCGTGGACACTTCCCTTTCGGTGTTCAATGGCGAAGTCATAACTTTGCAGTCTCTCATTCCACCGAGCTAGCTGTCCTTCTGGATTCTTGAGCTGTAGTAACCACTTCAGCGCTGCATGATTCGTTGGAACTCGGAAACGTTGCCCGTAGAGGTGCTTGTGGAAATGCTTGACGCACTCCACCAACGCTAGTAGTTCTCTCCGAGTTACGCAGTAGTTCTTCTCTGGTTTCCCAATAGACCGGCTATAGTACGCAACTACCTTCTCCTGCCCATCAATTACATGTGACAGTACGCCTTATATGGCCTAACCACTAGCATCCGTATAAACGTTGCACCTGGAACTGGATACGCGGGCATAGGCGCGGTACATATTCCTTCCTTTAGAGATTGGAAAGCCTCCTACTCCTTGTTCTACTCGAGGGCTCTATTTTTTCTTGTGAGCTCATGAAGGCTATTAGCAACGCTGTAGAAATTCGGAACAAATCGGCGATAGTAGGTGCATAGCCCAAGAAAACTTCCTAGCTCGTGCAGTATAGATGCCCACTGTTGTGACCTTGTGTCCTAAGTAGTTCATTTCCTTCTTGAACAGTGCGCACTTTTTAGGACTTAGTTTGAGACCAGCGCCAGCTATCCTCTGGAAAACTTCTTCCAAATTGTTCCTCAAAGCTCTTACCCAATATGATAATGTCGTCTAGATACACCAAACATGTTTTCCAATCTAGTCCTTTAAGCACATGGTCCACAAGTCTTTCAAAAGTTGCAGGACCGTTGCATAATCTAGAGGGCATGACCGCGAATTTCCATAGACCATCTCCAACGCTGAAGGCTGTCTTCTCCTTGTCCTCCTCACTTAACTCCACTTGCCAATAACCGCCCTAAGGTCCAGTGTTAGAACCATCTCGTGCCAGTCAACAAGTCCAGAGTATCATCGATGCTGGGCAATGGCCTTGCATCACCAGTACAATGCTATGTTTGACAACTTTTGTCCTACCTGGTTTGTTCCCATCCTTGTCCAATATATTGGAGTACCTGCAGAGATTTTCCTTAGCCTTGTGCTGGTATTTTTCTTCCAACCCTTTCGTCCGTGCATGAATGTCTTGCGCAATTTCATTCTCACCAATGGAATCGCTTTTAGGTAATTTTTCGCAGTTGAAGATAGCCTCTACCTCTAGACATTGTCCCAGAACATTTCCTCTTCTGAGTTTAATTGGCGATTTGAAGTACTCGAACTGGAATGCATCTATCTTTTGGCATCTTAGGCAGGGTTTTACCAATAAATCGTCCGGTGTAGAATTTTGTGTTGCTTCAACAACCCACAATTTGTTTGTGCCACAATCTCAATCAATCTTCGGCCAAACAACTGCAGCTGAATTCGGTGGAATCTGCCCGCTTTCCTCTAGGGTCACTCTGTTGCTGTTGTACGGGCCATTATACGCAAAGTTAAGGGGCACTTCCATGTTGTTATACGTCATGATCCTGTTCTTCATGTCGATCTGCATACCTTAATCAAATAAGAAGTCTACTCCAATGATGATTTCATCCACAATCACCGCGACTATGAACTTGTGTAACACTGTCACATTCCCCATTGCGACTTTGCACAACAGCTTGGGTGTCCTCACCAGTTGCTGTCGTCAACCCTGCTCCTGGTAATGGCCTTTTATTTATTTATTTGGTCTACAGAAAAAAGTTTTCTTACAGACAAATGAGAATAGAACATTTAGATATTTAAGTATGTGGGATATATTACAGAGTAGACTAATTATACATATTAATTTGTAATAATAATAATAATAATAATATAAAATAGCATGTTTGGTAGCTGGCGAGGCCTAGTCTTCAGTCTACTTTTGTTTGCGGCGGGCGGAAACCTCTAGTTTCCGCTCCGCGCTGTGGGCAAGCTGTTGATCATGGTCGGAAAGGCCGAGTGTCCGATCAATGCTCATACTGTCTTACGCGGTCGCGAAAATATACGAAGTCGATTACAGTTGTATTAAGCAGTCGTAGATATTGTGCAATTTATCGTTCCCGGTTAAAGATATTAATTTATTTAGTTACAAAAAACCGATTCAGATATGTCGAAGCAATCATAATGTTTGTTACAATCTTGGCATAACCATCGTAAACCATAATGCATTTCAAAGTTTGATTTACAAATGCTCAACACCACCGTGGCGCAGCCGAGAAAGTATGCGAGTCGACCACGTTTACCTCATAAACTGAAGAGAAATACAGTTCACCAGCTGAACGATAAGGTGCAATGTAAGGGTTTACATGGTATTTATTCAAAATCTCAAGTAAGGTTTTCTTAATAGTAAAAAGTGAGTCGGAGGTGTCAAAATAGTCGTAATGCTTATTAAAGTCCTGGAATAGGCAACGAAAAGCATCATTCATTTAAAAATTTGTTCTACAAATAGTTAGCTTAAGGGACTTTTAATGTCTAGAAGGCCTAGAAGGAATACAAACGTGATCTGGTTCAGTAGAAAGGGACTATTGACCATCCCGTTCAAGATCTTAATCATGAACAAAACCCCGAGCATCTCTCTACGGCTGTGCAGCGTTGACAAATTTATGAGTTTCAAGCGGTTTTTGTACGGTAGGAGATTTAATGTCGAATCCCAAGTCAAATTATTTAATGCATATAATAAGAATTGTTTCTGTACCGACTCGAGTCTGTCAGAATGCGTTTGATATCTAGGGTTCAATACGTTGGACCCGTATTCTAAGATCGGCCTGACTAGGGAGGTGAAGAGAGCTTTANTTGAACCCGTATTCTAAGATCGGCCTGACTAGGGAGGTGAAGAGAGCTTTAGTGACATAAGGATCTCTGAATTCTTTAGCCCAACGTTGGATGAAAGCCAAGACGTCCTTGGCTCTATTAACACAAGAGTTTACATGGGACTTGAATTCAAGCTTAGGGTCCATGGTTACGCCTATATCGATGAAATTAGTTACCTGATCAACACTATGTTCACAAATGCGGTAGCTATATGATTGAAAGGGTCTTCTAGAGAAACACATAAATTTA